TCCAGCGAGGCAGGCCGGAGCCCTTCCCCGTGCCCCGGGTCGGGGTGGGGGCCGGGGCCTCTTGCGGAGCAGGGGTGCCGGGGGACAGGGACCCTTGCCTGCCGGCGTGGGCCCCACCCGGCGTCTCCTCGTTAGGTGTGCCAGTCCCCCTTGGGGCAGCGCCCGCGTCCCGCTTCGCAGCATCGCCATTGCATTGAACAGGGAAATGAAAATCATGGGGCGAGTTACTTAACTTGTCCTCTTCGACCTAAGTAACGAGGAGATGACAGAAGTTCTTTTGTAATTTTAATTTGGCATAAGGAGTTTTTCGGGAATGTGTCGAGAGAAGCCTGGTACAAGTTTACAGGTTCCTTAAATCTCGCTGAGTAGCATTTCTACGCCCCTCTTAAGCACACGGAAGCCCCTCCTTTTTCCAAGCATATGCACCATGGGGTTCCTGAGCAACTTTGCAGAAATATCATCCGTGGTGTGTGTTTAATATTTGAGCCACGATGCCTCTTCTAAAATCTTCTGTAACAAGTCGGTTATTGGTTATGTTCCCCTATCAAAAATGTTTACTTGTAGAAGTTCTTTGTAAAAAACAATGTGGAAGAAATCGGAGAAAAAGCTAAAATTGGGGAGATGAGGAAAAAGACGGTCTTCACTATGATGTCGTTTTGATAATTAATGGCTTTGAAAATGAATTGTTTGTCCATGGAGTGTAATTCAAAGAACAAAATGTCTCTGTTAACAGATGCGGAACTCCAGACAAACTAATTATCCTGACTGGGATGAGAAGGAAAGTCCAGCTCACAGAAGATGTGACAGTGCTAATAAGAGGAAGAGGAGATCCTTAAGCGGTGCACAGGAGAACAAGTGCTGCAAGAATGACCCTTCTGAACTTCCTGACAGGTAAGTGACTTTTTGAGTTCTGATTCAGCAAGCGTATTTTCCATCAGGGTCATCTGATCCTGTATTCATTTTTGAGTCGAAGATATTTCAAGAGAGATGTCTTGCAGCTTAAAGCAAAAAGTTGCCTTGGTGGGGACGCTAGAACTGTTCTAACGGAGTTCCCTTGATCCTTTGTCTGCAGTGGGCATTCAGAAACCCAGTGTGTAAGTGGCAGAGACCGCCAGGACCGACGCTACGTTGAAGAGTACAGGAATGAGTACAACCAAGTGTGCGATGCTGGGCATCACAGTTCCCAGTCCTCGGGTCACAGTAGGATGAGTAGTTACAAAAGGAAATACAAGGCACACCACACTACCTATCATCGTCATCATTCACAGGTGGTGTGACCAGTTTTAATTGAGGATTTTGTTTATTTTAAGAAGATTCTCATCTAGGCAGTAGTAATTGAGTGTGGGGATTTGGGGAATTCTGTCAATATTATTGATAGTTCATTCTTTTAGCTAATATTAGATCATTCTTTTTGCTAGGATTTTACTTCTTTCAGTGAAAATGTGTAGTTTGTAGGTATACTTTTGATAGCACACAGTGTAGTCTTGCTGTTTGTTAGCTGGATTTATTTGAGCAGATGAATGAATAATAACCATCAATTGGAGTACTTAAACCACAGGCATCGCTTCGTGCCTGCCAAAGTTTTAGTATGACAAGCATGTATTTCAGCCCTACTTGAAAATCCAAACGCAAGGTTTTAAACTGGCCTTGGACTAAATATCACTTGAAATAGCAAGGAGATAATGTCAGACTTGTATTTTTTAAAAAAATTTACTTAGTAAAATGTTTTGAGTATCACTGAGAAATCTGTAGAATCAGATATGTATGATGTCTGCCCACTAGCAGGGCAGTTTTTCTGATCTGTGTTACATATTTAACTCATAAAAAAGCTGAAGATAGGATTTGTAATTTAAGATCCTCAGCTGAGACAGCCTAAAGTAAATGTATATGCTATTTATGTTTTTTTTAAAAAATCTTGCCAAATATTCAGTTATTTAATCTTGATGACTTAAAATGGTTATTTTAATTTGGCCACAAGGCTATTTTTAGATATATAAGACACTTATTAAATCCTTTTGCTTTAAAAAAAACTAATGGGCACTGAAATGCTAAAGTAAAATTCAGTGAACCCATCTTTTGACAGAAAAACGATTGTGTTTGTAATTTTTTGTTGCCTTGCCACTTTGAGTATCTCATCTGAAAATCTGTTCCTTGCCATGTTTTTCTCCTGTAACATAAACTATGTGCCCTGTGAATTTCCGGGGGCTGAATTTGAAATTGCTCCTGCCAACTGTGTGTGGCCTGGCGCGTATCTGAATGCCTGAATATCTCCCTGCTGAATGAATTCGTATTCTGACCTGAATTCACTCGGGTTTATTGATGGGCTGGACGATCTTGGTGCCGTTCCAGAAGAGTCATCGAAGGAAAAGATCCAGGAGTGTAGAGGATGATGAGGAGGGTCACCTGATCTGTCAGAGTGGAGACGTACTAAGTGCAAGATGTATAGAATATTTTTAAAAATCTATTAACTTTTGAGATAGAATAAGTTCTTTTAGCATAAGACGTGAGGGGGCTTTGGAAGTCTTTTCTTTCTGTCTTTTGTTTTTTTTGGGGGGTGGGGTTTGTTACTGTTTTTCTGTAGAACTTAAATATATTTCTTTTTCTTTTTTCCCTTTTTTCCCCCCAAATACAGTAAATGAAGTTAATGAACCTACTAGAATGAGAGCCCTGTAAATGTGCCTTGATGAGCGTTGTCCAATAGCATTTCTCAAACTAGATATTTACAATTTAAAGCAGCACAGTCTAGAATAGCTTCAGTGATAGTACTTATTCTTTTTGGTTTATTTTTGTTTGCTTGTTTTTTTTTTTTAATAGCTGAGTCACTTCACAACTTCTGTGACTGAGAGTTCTTTTCTTTATAGATGAGGTTGTTGCTACCTTGGGTGAAGGTGCTTTTGGAAAAGTGGTGGAGTGCATCGATCGCAAAGCGTAAGTCTGTCACTCACTACCTGTCACTTCTCTTCCTCTCAGTGCTTCATGAAGGGCTTTCTGGTTCTATCAGGTTTCATCTTCAGTTCCTCAAACAGACACAAATTCTGGCACCTGCCCAGGACTGGGGTGTGAGGCGATGGGGATGGCTCCTGCAGGGGCCCCAGCCTGGTAGAGTTCAAGGGCTGATGAGGGGAGGGGGCCTAGAAAATGTGGGGTGAAGCTGCCTGCCCCTGCCTGGCTCTCACCCCCCGGTCTGTGCAGTGACCAAGGTCTCTGGCCTCACCGACCTTAACGTGAACACCATTTGGGTTCTAGCGGCGAGGGTAGTACAAATCAAGAATGTGTTCTGTGTTTGATGGCACTTGGGCTGTGTGCAGAAATCTGTGAAATTAGATTTGCTTTCTGGAGAAGACATTTGACACCTCAGTTACATTTGTACTGAAATGATTGAAGGCTTGTCATTCTTGACTGACAGTCGTGTGAGGCTGTGAGATGTGGGAGTTTCTCCAGCATTAGGCCAGCATAGATGAATACAATGAGGAGGTAAATGGGGCTTTTAACCTTAAAGAATAAAATCACTATCTGAGGTATCGAGTACATTTTCAGAATTTAAAAATTAAATGTTAGTTTTCTTTGTGCATAGATGGTTTTTGGTTACATTGAGTTGGTATGTACATAAAAAAATACCTTCTCCTGTTAAGTTTGCCATTGTTATAAACAATGCCTATGGTGAAGATTGCTGAATAGTCTCAGTTAAAACCAGTTATTGTTCTGCTCACTGCTAAAACCTGTCTTTTCAGGGAGAACAGACACGTGGCTGTGAAAATAGTAAAAAACGTTGATAGGTACTCTGAGGCAGCTCACGCAGAAATAAAGGTGCTGGAGCATTTGAACGCGTCGGACCCCAGCAGCACGTAGTGAGTAGAGACACCTGTGCTGTGGCTTGCAGAGTCCTGGGCGTCGCTCTCGCCGCGGGTGGCGTGGGTGTCGGCGTTGCAGGGCTCCCTCTCACAAGTCACGTCTTCTCCCGCTCTTGCAGTCGCTGTGTCAAGATGTTAGAGTGGTTTGAGTACTATGGACACGTCTGCATTGTTTTTGAGCTGCTGGGGCTCAGCACGTACGACTTCATTAAGGAGAATGGCTTTCTGCCCTTCAGGCTGGACCACATCAGGAAGATGGCCTATCAGATCTGCAAGTCCGTGAACTGTAAGTGTGGTTCTGGGCTGCTTTACTTCTTACAATTTCCTTCGTGAAATTTGCTAACTTAGAGTCGTTGCCTTGCAGTTTTGCATTTGAACAAGTTGACACATACGGATCTGAAACCAGAGAACATTTTATTTGTGACGTCCGAGTATACAGAGGAGTATAACCCTGAACTGGTAAGTTGCAGTCCTCTTCCCCCCACCCCCTCAGCCACTGCCTGGCTTTAGCTGGTCACTGGCACTGCGTTTCATTTTAGAAATGTGATGAACGCATGCTAAAAAATCCCGATATCAAAATTGTGGACTTTGGAAGCGCGACATACGACGACGAATATCACAGCACGTTGGTGTCCACAAGACACTACAGAGCTCCTGAAGTCATCCTAGGTCAGTAGAGGCTGGGGCTGAGCTTTTCTAAGCTTCTGCACTGTTGACCTGTGCTACGTAAGCTTTGTGGGTCTTGCTTCAGTAGCTGAAGTGTTCAGACTGGTATAAACGCCGACCTTGTGAATCTCTCCGCAGCGCTGGGCTGGGCGCAGCCGTGCGATGTCTGGAGCATCGGCTGCATCCTCATCGAGTACTACCTGGGGTTCACGGTGTTTCCGGTAGGCCGGGCGGCACCTGCAGCCAGCGTTGCGCCGGGGCGAGGCGGGGGCTGGGGGGACGTGGCTCCGGCTCTGCAGGGCCAGGCTGGGGACAGCGGGAGGGGAAGGCACACAGCAACTCGCTCAGCAGAGTGCTGCAGATCCCTTCCAGTAAACGTTTTAGCAGCAGCCTGCTGGGGAGGACTGGCCTGTAGTAATTCAGAAGCCACACTAACAACAGATGTAGTTTCATCTGTCACCATCAGCAAGTACTGCTCAAATACCCGAGTTCTGTCATCTTGCCAGTACTGCTGAAACTTCAAATTTATGGAGAGGAAAAAAGGCAGGGTCAAGGGGAAAAAAACCCTCCCACAGAGGGGATCAGGAAACAGCTTACTATACAGCCTCTTTTTTGGCGATTCGTGGTTGCAGGGCACAGTCAAAAATGAAGTAAGGTTAGTGGGTGGTTCTTGGTGATTTCCTCCAACAATGAACAAAAAGGTCTCTTGATTTCCCTCCAGACGCATGACAGCAAGGAGCACCTCGCAATGATGGAGCGCATACTGGGGCCTTTGCCCAATCATATGATAAAGAAAACAAGGTAATGACATTTTTCCATACCTGGGCTGCTATAGTTTTAATTTAAATATTTTCAGATTTGGTTTAATGGAAGGTTTTTTAAAAAAGTTGAATAAACTCAGCTTCATCCTCCTGCTGGCCGCTCTTGTAGCCTGTCCCCAGCCGAGTTGCCAGGTTGTGTACAGACCCGTTGCTGAGCTGCTGGCGAGGGGACAGAGCGGCACCTCTGAGTGAGGGCTGGGGTGGGTCTGTTCCAGGAAGCGCAAGTACTTCCGCCAGGACCGGCTGGACTGGGACGAGCACAGCACCGCCGGCAGATACGTCTCCAGGCGCTGCAAGCCGCTCAAGGTAAGGGCAGAGCACAGCGCCCTGGGGAAGAGCTTCAGGTGGAGGGGTAAGATTAAAAACCCCCCATGTTTCCTTTACGAAGGCGTTTATGACCTGCCACGATTCCGACCACGAGAACCTCTTCGACCTCATTGAAAAGATGCTGGAGTATGACCCGGCCAAGCGCATCACTCTGGAGGAAGCACTGAAACACCCTTTCTTCTTCCCTCTGAACAAGCAGAAAAGGGCAGCGCCGCCCGTCGCTGAGCAGACTGGGACAGAGGCCAGTCCACCAAAGAAACGCAGAAAATATTAAATATTTATTGTGTACAGTTATTTTGTAAATGGCCATTTTTGTATTACTACTTTTTTGCAAACTGAAGTTTAATCCAGCTGCTGGCATAAAACTTATTTAAAAAAGTTTATGAACCTGGTTGTTATTCCTTGGCAAATAAAAATCCTGGGCTACTTTCTTATTAGAGTGTGGAAAAGAGCACTCTCTATTCTACAAAATAGGGCTTCTAATGGCAAAAAAGTATTTTAGGTTTGTTTTATTTAACTAACTGTCATTTGAATAGCAGAAGACCTGGGGCTAGTTTTTACCTGCTGGTGTCAATGCTGCTGCTTTACTGAGTAAGAGAAGAGAGACAGCCCTTGAGGTGAAGTGTAAGGATGGCCTTTATTTGTTACAAAAAAGGTTACAAAGTAGGGAAGATCACTGTAGCATTGAACACGGACTGCACTGTGATAGCCAATTTAATTTTTTCCCTTTAATTTTAGTAGATGTACTCTGGTTATCAGTATTTCAGTTAATGCTTGTTATTAGCTTACAGTAATAGACTTAACTCGTTTTACCAAATCTTGAGAATTCCCACTAAGAATTCAAAGTTTCAGGGTGCAGAGCAGCTGTTTGGTTTAACCTGTCAGGGTTGGAGTTCACCTGCCTTACCTGCCAGCAGCTGTGGCCTTGACAGAGCAGCACAAAGCAGCTGCCCAGCCCAGGGCAGCTGCAGGGGGAGTGGCTCTGCTTGTGCTGCTAGGGGAAGAGAGGTAGCAAGACCCCCTGAGTAGACACGTGGCAACCCCTCAGGAAGGCGGCCACACCTGGGACAGCCAGCAGGCTCCCAGAGGCCACTCATGTCTCTGGTTACTGGTGGCTGCCACCAGAACAGCTTCTCTCCAGCAGGACAGCAGAGCGACAGGATTGCTCTGTGCTGCAAATGCCATGAAGGGAGGACAAAGTCCTTGCAGAGGGACAGCCAGCTATGAACAGGGTTATTTGGAGCAAGTGGGACAGACTGAAGTGTCACACTGAGTTATGACACAGGCCACAGGGCCTCTTCACTTCAGAGGCTTTTAACAGTTTAATTTGCAAACAGAACTGCCATAAATCTCATCCACCCATCTCATGTCTACTCCAACAGAGATAGAAAACCCAAGGGATAAAATGGATTTCATTGTGGAAGGCCTTAAATTACATTATTACAGTAGAAAATACAGGAGGTAGAATATAACTGAAAGGACAAATGAAGGGTAAGAGTCAAATCTAGAATAGCTCCTGTAAGCTACTTAAAACATGATTTAAAAACTAAACCCAGTATTTCAATACCTATAGAAAATGGTTAAAATAAATTGCCATGAGAGCCCTTATATCATGCTTGATACAGGGAGGTAGGATGTAAAGAATCAAGAAGGACACATGAGACATGACACATCTACAGCTGTTTGCTTTACTGAGGACAGTTTCACAGGTCAGTCGCCCTCTTCTCCTTCAGACTCGGATTCTGGAACAGAAAAGACCTCCTCAACAGGCTGCCCCCGGGCTGGGCCCCTGCCCCCCAGATCAGCTTCTGCCCAGCATCCTGCCCAACAGCTGCTCTCGGAGCCACACAGGTTTCA